GTCTCAAAGAACAAGCTTGCTAGAAAGGTCAGTCATAATCTCTGTATGAAATAGTAGATCATGAGAAAAATATAGCAAATCACTCTGTTAGGAAGAGACAATGTGAATCTAAGAGGGAAATACACACTGTATCTAGGGCTCCCCAGGGAGAATCTGGCTTTTTTCATTTGTCCCTTGTCAGAATTACTGAAATGTAGGAAACATTTCTCCCTCTCTTTCAACTATCATCTCATTGAAGCTGAATTCTGCCATGCTCACTTTATGAAAATTGCTCTTGCAAAGGTCACTGATGAAATTTTTATTGCTAAATCCAGCATCCTTTCCACTTAGATCTCTTTGCTGCAGCTAATACTGCTGGACACTACATTCTGGAAAGTAGCACTAACTTAGTTTCCATGACACTGCACACACTTGTTCTCCTAGACCCCAACTCTTCTCTTGCCTTCAAATACGTGAATGTAAATGTTCCCTCAAATCATTGCTTGGTCCCCTGACCTTTTCTCTCTTCTCTCTTCCACTGAAGGAGACAATCCCTTGTTTCATCATTACTCACAGAATAATTCCTCTGAAGTACATTCCTAAACCTAAGATGCAGTCATAAATCTCAAAACCTACACTGCCTTTTCTGTTAGGTCACACTATCATTTAAAGGTCAGCATTTTAGACCCAATGTGTTGCCTCTATCTCTTTCCAGTGGAGCCTCTACAATCTGATCCACAGCAGTTGCATCTTATCATTCCAAGTGACTTGAGCTACACTTTGGATATATCCCCCAAAGTTCTAACTTGTTTCCCCCAAAACATATGTCAACGAGGCCTTTTGAAAAAGGGTAGTTATTTGTAAGCTATAGATTTCTGGATTATCTTTGGGTGCCTTTATTATTAAAAGCAAGCTTTCTCTAGCATGCTCACTCTGTTTCAACACTGGTGCCTCTTCCCATATCATAATGCAGCAAGAATACTGTCTCCAGAGGCTAGCGCCATGTTCTGAGACTGCCCAGAGTCTATAACTATGTTATAAACCTCTACTCATTATAAATTAGCCAATCTGTGGCATTCACTATAGCTACAGAAAATGATAGCAAGCAATAAAAGGTTTAGAATAGAGTATAGTTTTTGTTAATATCATATGACTTTTATTCTCATATTCTCCCCATTATTCCTTTTCAGTAAGTATGATTATATGTATTTGATTTTATACAATAACATAACAGGGTGGTAATTACTTACTTTTAATTATCCATTGCCTTTTTCTATCTAAATGTTCTTTAAGTATTCTTGAAATTAACAGAACCCATGGGAAATAATTCTTAGTACTAAAAAATTTTAGTACTGCTCCTCGTCCACTTCAATCTCTCCCTCTCTGGTTTTTCCTAAAAGTTATCATGATTGTAATTTACCACAAATATCCAAGAACTTAGAATACTATGGTATGATAGAATCCTTCATGTTTTAGCCATGTAACCCTTTAATTACATCTTACATATCTGCCTTGTAGTATCCATTCTTTTGGTTCTGACAATGTCTTCTTTGTCTTCTCAAAGGTAACCTCTATTTTATGCTGACTAAAGCAGGACACTTCTACTGTGGCCACACACATCACCCTGTTCTTCTAAATACACTGTTGTCTTTCCTTCTTCATGGGAGGCACCCAGATGGAAACCACAGCCTATGCCTGAATGTTAACTGGCAAGAAGGTATCCAAAGGTTGGTTCTCTCTGAGAACTCCACTCAGTTCTGGAGACTCGGGATTCATTTTCCTACATCTTGATAGCAAGAGTCTCCATTTCTCTGTTAGAAACAATTCTTGGTTACTATCTTCATTCTTGCTAAATCATGGGCTATCAGAAAGCCTGAGAAACATTCCATGGTAAAGGCACTTAAAAAAAAAAAACTACTACCCACTTTCTCAATCTTTGTCTCATTCTAATAGCAACCAAACCTACTTTACAACCAGATTTCCTCTTTATAGTATTTCCTTATTCAGCAATACCCTTGTCACTAGTCTCCAACAGCAGTATAAATCTCTATTCCACCAAGATCTTTGGGCTGCCTTATATATTCCCCAGGCTGGTTCCATAGATTATCAAAGTTAAAAAAGATTCCATTCTACACTGATATCTGAACCCTTTTTTATAACAGAATGGTAATTCACTAATTTATTATGAAGACTATAAACAACTGGTTAATCTATTCTTTGAATTTTATGGTATTCACTAATTAATACCTCAACCTGGAATTACATATTCCCTGGGTTCATAGTAAAGTTGACCTTCCGCTTTTATTTATAGAATTAACTAGACATTTTATTCAATTATATTATACCATGTGTTGCTACTAAAGTCTATGTCAAAAAAAATCTTAACCTGGAACCATGGCAATGGTTCAGCAGATAAAGTAACTGCTGCTCAAGCATAAGACTCTGAATTCGTGTCCCCAACACTCACATAAAAGTTAGGCATGGCATCACACATCAGTGATGATCAGAGATGGATCTATGATACAAAAAGGATTTTCTGCTCGGCCAACTAAGCCAAATTAGGAAGCTCTAGATCCACGGAGTGAGTTTGTATCAAAAAATAAGGTAGAGACCAAAGAGAAAGGCATGTGATTATAACTTCTGACATCCACATATCTGCACACACAGTCTTTGATCTTCACCTTATTGTGGGGGCTCAAATGAGAATGGCCCCAGTAGATTTGTGTATCTGAACATTTGGTCCCCAGTTGGTAAAACTGTTTGAGAAGGATTAGGAAGCATGGCCTTGCTAGAGGAGGTTTGTCCCTGGGTCTCAAAAGACTCATACTGTTCCCAGCCTCCCATGATTTGTCTGTCTTATGGCTGTGCCTCAATATGTCAGCTACCAGCTACTCTTGCAGGGCAAGTCATGCCTGCCTACCTGATGCCATCCTCCACCATGATGGTCATGGACTCTAACCCTCTGTAACTATACACCCTACTTAAAGTCTTTTATTAGTTGCTGTTGACTGAGGTTTCTCTCCTGCCCAGTTCCCACAGTCGTTTAGTCTCAAAGAAATCACGCAGAGGATTACATTAATTATAACCTGATTGGCCTAGTATTTTAGGCTTCTTATTAACTATTATAACTTATATTAGCCCATAATTTTTATCTGTGTTAGCCATGTGGCTTGGTGCTTTTTTCCACAAGATAATCACATCTTGTTTGCTCTGTTTCTGGGTCACAATTACAGACTGAAACTTCCCTCTTCCCAGAATTCTCATTGCCCTGCCTCTACTTCCTGCCTGGTCCTCTGCCTATACTTCCTGCCTGGCGACTGGCCAATCAGTGTTTTATTAAAAATAAGACAAGTGACAGGATAAAAGACCATTGTCCCACAGCTTAATTGCCTTGGCCATGGTCATGTCTTATCACAGCAACAGAAAAATATATATAACTAAGATACTTTTGATGAATCAAAAAAGTGAAAATAAGAGAAGACTTATACAGAAGGTCACTTTTGAGATTAATTTTAAAGAACATATAGGATTTAAATAAAAAGTAAAAGACAAAGGAGAATTTCAAGAAAATGAATAGAACTAACAAAATCAGAAAAGCCAGTCATAAGTTAAGAGCAACAATTAGAGGTGTTTGATTGGAGAATAGGGTTTGATTAGGAGATCATAGGAGGTAAGTGTATTGCTGGAGATAGTGTTGGTTTCCAAATGGAAAGATCGGAATTTAACCCAAGAGATAATGAAATGTGCAACTCCAACTAACTCTAGTATTCACCCATACTACACAAATAGGATAAGACTCCACAACTTGATATTAAACTTATATTAGAAAAAAATAGTGAATAATAGCTATTGCCCAGATGAGGATTTGAAGAATAATGAGGAAAGAATTGGGAAAAGTGAATTATGCATGGTAGTTATTGTGTCATTGAAAAGGCTAATTAACCTGAGGTGAGCTGAGAGGAAAGAGGGTAAATAATAAGAAGCTAGACAAAAAGACTGAAAATAAAGATTCTGTAGTCTTTAGAGATGAAAAAGAAAATCAAGCAAGCAGAAAGGAAAAAAATTAAGCTTGATATCTTAGAAGCCGAGCAGGTTTGAGTGGTGACTAATAATGGCTCACTTTTAAAATAGTAGCAGAGAAAATAGGGATAAAGGTCATTGGTACCATAAAGGAGTTACCTGCCTCCCACTTAATCTGCACATCTAATGCTGTGCCTGGGAATAAGTGCACAAATGTAAGTGTGATGTATTGATGAGGTCGTCACCAAAAATACACCTTTAATGTCTAGGGACTCAAAGGAAAGGGTGCAAAACAGAAAGACACTGACATTCCAGCGGGTGTGAGTGTGACCAAGAACAGTTAGTTGTGATGAGAAATGGGAAACTTAGGGCAAAAAAAAGCAGCATAAGTCATAAAATAAGGAAAGATTGAGTGACAACAGTAGAAAAGTATTCAGCTCCAGGGCAAACAGAAAGTTTGTGTTTCACAACCGTCTCTGTCCTCTTAGGAATGCCTGCGTACTTTCCTCAATATTTAATTAATCAAATGCAAAGAGACAAATAGACTTTTTAGAGTCTACCAGAAAATAGAGCCCTAGAACATCCTACGCAGTAGGTTAACAGAACACAGAACCCTATAATGTCCTACACAGAAGGCTACTTTGCCTAACTTGAATAGGTATGCAATTGCCCTATTCCCATATCCCCTTCTAGCAAAGCACAGGGTCATGAGATGGAGACCCAGTTGCAAAATGGAGCAAGACTTTCCTCGTGTGGCCAACCTGGCTCCTTGATCCATCTGTAGGACCTTGTAGCTCTGCAACTCCCCTCTTCCCAGAAATGAAATCTAGGTCCCAGGGGTTAGAACTTTAGCACAGACCTGTGTCTAATGAATAACGTTCATTGATTTCCTAGCCCGGGGAATAAGCAATTCCTTTTCGAACAATAGCTCTGATTATTGACAGAAAGAAGGGAGAATCTGGGAAGTCTGTCACATGGTGTTGCTGCTCTCCACCCCTCAATGTCATCAAAGTTCACACAAAACCTGAATGCTTAGAGTCTGGAGAGTGTAGTGGGCAGCCACCTTTCTGTCTCCTCCTAAAGAAACTGCTACTGTTGTCGTAGTTCTGGACTGAGAGCATGGATAAAGTGATTCTGCTGCTTGGGGTGTCCGTCCTCACCAGTCTTCTGTCAGAAGCCTTTGCTCAGACAGGTAAGAAGTTTACTACAGTCAGGGAGAGAAGTCGATTCTGAGCTACTGTTTCTCTGAATTTGTTGAAAGCCATTATATGTCTTATTTTATCTCACAGACCTCACAGGAAAAGTATTTGTGTTCCCCAGAGAGTCTGACAGCGATTATGTGAAGTTGATCCCACATCTGGAGAAACCTCTGGAGAATTTTACACTGTGTTTTCGAGCCTATAGTGACCTTTCCCGCCATTACAGTCTTTTCTCCTACAGTACCAAGGGCAGAGACAATGAGCTACTAGTTTATAAGACAGCAGTTGGAGAATACCAACTGTTTATTGGACATTCAAAAGTCACAGTCCGTGGTATGGAAGAACTCGCTTCCCCAGTGCATTTCTGTACCAGTTGGGAGTCCCATTCTGGCATTGCTGAATTTTGGGTCAATGGGAAACCTTGGGTGAAAAAGGGTCTGCAGAAGGGGTATGATATAAAAGCCCAACCCAGTATTGTCCTAGGACAGGAGCAGGATACCTATGGAGGAGGGTTTGATAAGTCCCAGTCCTTTGTAGGAGAAATTGGAGATTTGAACATGTGGGACTCTGTGCTAACACCACAAAACATTAAACTTGTATACCTTGGTTCCACCCTTGCTCCTAATATTCTGAATTGGAAAAATCTGAACTATGAAATAAATGGCTATGTAGTCATCAAGCCCGGTGTGTGGCTTGATGACTATTAAGATCTTACAATAAAACCTCATAAAAATGAAATGGACAATGTCCAAGAGGTCAAGTCAGCACAACTTGACACTCAATTCTGTATCTATATCCTTTTTTCTTTGTGAACCTCCTGTCTATTTAGCTGTTTAATAAAAATATTATCCAATTCTGCCTGCCTTTGTTGACTGCTTGACATAATCTCAAATGCTTTCTTTCCAATCTACTCTTCTTGATAATTGGTGTTTCAGTATCTAGAAAAATCAAGCTGCAAAGAAGGGGAAAATTAACAATGAGGAAAATGGCAACACTTACAACTTAATAATAATCAACTTGATAATAACTCAAGATATGTGTAATCAACTTAATAATAACTCAAGATATGTGTAAAATTGCAGTAGAAATCCTTCCATTTGTTTTTTCAAAGTACAAGTCAATTTAAAAGTTTGCTATTGCTCAAGAGACACAACTATAATGAGATAGGTAAGCAACAGTTGAGGACATGACAGCAAATAATGAGTCAGGAAAGCTAGAATAGGAAGGAAAACTACAAATGTAAAAGAAACTGTGATCATTTTGTATAAAGAGAAACATAATTGATGTCTCAAAAATCCCAGTGGTAATGTCGAGCACCTGACTTCTGTAATACCACCCAAATGCCACCAAGGACATACTGTATATTTTCTGAACATGTAATAAATATTGCTAATAGTAATGTTTTTAAATTCCTTCTATGATCTCTGCGACTCACAAAATATAACCCAAATCTCAACAAGTGACTTTGCCCTCTGTAACCTGGTCTCCACATTGCTCAATGTACACTTCAGTTACAACACAGCACACAAGAGGCCACGGCTATAACACTTTATTGAGATGATTGTAAAGAGCATGAAACACAAGCCCTCACACATTCTCTAAAGACAAGGAAGACCTTCCCGAAGAAGACAGAGTTTGGGCTTTATGTGAACAGACAAGCAGGTCTAGCTCAAAGATAATGGAGCACGAAGTCCCAAAAAGTCACAAAGATAGTGTCCAGAACAATAATCAAAGCAATTGTTTCTGAGGTCAACTTCTCAGAATGGACAAAGAAGCAGGTGCCAAAACAGATAAGAAAGAGTCTGGGAAATTCATACTGAGGCAGTGACTTCACATGAGAAAAACAAGTAGAACCCAGGGAAATTTGCTATTCAGAATATTAAGTTATTTAGGACAGAGATTTTATCAATGTGGAAATCATTCGCTTTTAACTTCTATCTTTTTTTAAATAATTTTTTCGTATTCTGATCACAACCTCCCCTCCCCCAACTCTTCCCAGATCCTCCCTACCTCCTCACACAATTAACTCCATACTTGCTTTTGCTCTCTCTAAAAAACAAACAGGTAAAAAGGGAAAAAAAGTAGAAACACACACACAAAATCTATAAAAACACAAAATTGGAAATCATACTGTACAACAAATATAAATAAGATAAAAGTGCTCAACCAAAGCAATATGAGACCAAAAGAATAAAAATTGGGGGGAGGAGTACTGTGAGACAATGGTCTTGTACCATGTAAAAATTTGTCACTTGTATTGGTTTAATAAAATGCTGCCTGGTCAGTAGTCAGGCAGAAAGTGTAGGTGGGGTGACTAGAATAGGAGAATCCTGGAAGAGGAAAGGCTCAGTCTACAGTTGTCACCCAGACCCAAAGGAAGCAATATAAAAATGTCTCACTGATAAAAGGTACCAAGCCACGTGACTAACACAAACAAGAATTATGGGTTAATGTAAAAAATAAGAGTTACTTAATAAGAAGCCTTAGCTACTAGGCCAAACACTTTATAATTACTGTAGGCCTCTGTGTTTCTTTTGAACTGAATGGCTGTGCGAACAGGCAGGACAGAAACTTCTGTCAACAAATAGCCCCAATGTGGGTAACTACATGCACATAAAACCTGAGAGAGCTTAGGAAGTAATTATTGACACAAAATAACAGTTAAGCATAGTTTCTTGGTAGCAGCATTTTCTCAGGTGGCCTCTGTTTGCTAGAGGCAAGCACATCTCATTTAAGAGAGACTTCCTGACTCAGCTTTACCTGCAAAATCCTTGCAGCTCTTTTAAGAGGCCTTACCACCAAACACTTAAATAGTGTTTATGAATAGCTAATGGCCTGCTTCTTGGTGGTGGCAGTGGCCTTGAAAATTTGTAGAGTGGTGACAATAAATATGGCTCCCACCAGTACCTCTGTCATGAAGCTAGTCTCTCAGAAAGCTAAGAAATGGGATGGATCCAGCAGTCAAAGTCACAGCTCTAATCCTAGCCATATTACTAGACTCATGTGATCAGAAAAAGAGATATACAGTGATGATAGATTCAGACAACAATAATACTTCTAAGTGGTTTACAATGTGTTTAAAAATATATGTAGGCTTGTGAGAGAAAATAAAAAAGAATAAATTCCTTTAAAAAATGAAAGAAAATAGTTGGATATGGTGGCATACACCTTTAATCCCAGCACTTGGGAGGCAAAGGAAAGTGGATCTCTGTAAGTTCAAAGACAGCCTGGTCTATGGAGTGAGTTCCAAGACAGCCAAAGATAAACAGGAAAAAAATTAAAAATAAAAGTAAAAGAAATAGAGTTTAAAATAAAACCACATAAAGATGGAAAATACACATATAATCTGGATACTGTATGTTATTGTGTTATCTTTGAATTGTTTGATGGCTGAGGAAGGAGCAGCAGCTGCTAAAGGACATTTGATTATAAATGCTGCTGGATTAATCCAACATATATATTTTGAAAATACATTGATTTTAAATTTTAAGTCAAAAGATATGTTACTTTGGAGAAGAGGTTTTGCTGCTTTTGCTTCCAAAGAAAATGAGAGGCTATAGATTCATTCTGGGTTAAGAAAAATCAGGTTTGACCAAGGAAGATCCCCCTGAACAAATAGGAACAGGTGGCCCAGATGATTCAACATTTCAGAGGACTCTGTTGGAGTTTCCTCTGAGTTCTACATCCAGGACAGACTCAAAACTGCTGGTTGAGATGATCAAGCTTCGCAGAATACTCTAGTCAGGACTTGACCACAATCCTAAATTTTCTTTAGGTCCCCATAAGATTATCAGAGCCCCCAATCAGCAGAAAGTAGCCTAGAAAAACATGTCCACATTCCCAAAAATATGGATTATGGATGGTGTCTTTGTTTAGAGTGCTGGTTACAAGCTGTTATGGATAATAGTCAGAAAAATCTAAACAAAGGAGATTAGATTCAGTGTTCTTGTTTTGAAAATAAAAAAAAAAATGGGCGGAAGTACTGTGAGACAATGGTCTTGTACCATGTAAAGATTTGTCTCTTGTATTGGCTTAATAAAATGCTGATTGGCCAGTAGCTAGGCAGGAAGTATAGGCAGGGCTGCCAAAACAGGAGAATTCTGGGAAGAGTAATGGTTCAGTCTGCAGTCATCACCTAGACCCAGAGGAAGCAAGATTAGAATGCTTCACTGATAAAAGGTACCAAGTCATATGGCTAACACAGCCAAAAATTATGGGTTAATTTAAGATGTAAGAGTTAGCTTAAAAAATATGCCTAAACTATTGGCCTAATAGTGTTGTAATTAATATAGTTTCTGTCTTATTATTCAATTCTGGGTGGCTGGGAAATGAACAAACAGTCTCTGCTTATACCATTGAATTCATTTTATATTGGTCTCTACTGCTGGGCATGGGGCCTTGTAAGTGTTGTGCATACACTTAGTGGAGAAAATAGATTTTTCTTTTGTGAGAAGTTGTTAGTTAGCGATAGCATCTTAGTCAGGGGTGGAAACTCACATCTGCTTCCTCCTCTTCATTCTTGGACCACATCTGGCTTGGAACGATGTTGGCTGGTCCTGTGCATCCTATCACATTCTCTGTGAGTTTGTATGTGCATCTGTACTGGTTGACCTGGAGGGCCTTGCTTTCTCAGTGTCCTCCATCCCCACTGGTTCATCTATGTTTCCTCCTCCTCTTCTTTCTTTAATTTATATTTTCAGATATTTTAAACAGCTTTTCTCATTTTTTGAGCCATCTCTCCAGCCCTCTCCTCTTCTCTAATAGTTCCTGGAGCCCTGAGGTGAGGGATTTGAAAAAAAAATCCCATTAATGAGTGAGTATTCTGTTGAAAGGAGTGGCAGGCTGCATTCCCGCTGGGATCCCAGCTCCCCGGCAAGTTTACCCCCGAAATAATTACACGGAAACTGTATTCTTTTAAACACGGCTTGGCCCATTACCTCCAGCCTCTTATTGGTTAGCTCTCACATATTGATTCAACCCATTTCTAATAATCTGTGTAGCACCACGAGGTCGTGGCTTACCAGGAAAGATTCAGCATGTCTGACCTGGCAGCTTCATGGTGGGCAGCTCTCTGCCTCTGCCTTCTTTCTCCCACAATTCTGTTCTGTCTTCTCTGCCTACCTATGTTCTGACCTATCAGACCAAGCAGTTTTCTTTATTAATTAACCAATGAAAGCAACAGATAGATAGAAGACCCACGTACATCAGTATTCCAAGGTCTCTCACTATCTGTACATTGTTCAGGTGTGGGTGTCTATCTTCCTTCCTATCTACCACAAGAGGAAGTTTCTCTGATGACTGAATTCACCATCCATATTTTAAGTTCAGGTTTACTTTATAGTTTCTTAAAGTTAAGAAATCTTTCAAGGGATTTGGTGGTGGTTCCACAGATAAGAGTACTGCCTGATCAAACATGAGGACATGAGTTCAGATCCACGGCACCCACATCAAAAGCCAGACATTGCCAAGTAGACCTGCCAACCCTGTACTGGACCTGGGAGGTGGAGACAGATAATCACTGGAACCCACTGGTCAGATAGTTCATCTTTAAAAAAAATGTTGAATTCTGGGTTCAGTTAGAAATCCTGTCTCAAAGAGAATGATGGAACAGGACACCTTTTTTCTCCTCGTGTGCATACACAGATGCATGAACCCACACACCCAAGTATATGCATTCTATAGTGTATACTCTATACACACATAGATACATAAAGAGAAGCCTTCCCATAAACATGTACTAAAAATGACTCCCTATTCTTGAGCAATTGTTATTTCTACCAAGAACATGCAAACACATTGTTTGCCTTAATATTGCATCTCCATAATAGGCCATTTTTGCTTAGCATCCCATCTGCA